TTTTTTAAAGATTTTATTTATTTATTTGAGACAGAATGAGAGAGAGAGAGAGAGCACATGAGAGGGGGGAGGGTCAGAGGGAGAAGCAGGCTCCCTGCCAAGCAGAGAGCCCGATGCGGGACTCGATCCCGGGACTCCAGGATCATGACCTGAGCTGAAGGCAGTGGCTTAACCAACTGAGCCACCCAGGCGCCCTAGGTTAGGTGTATTAAATGCATTTTTGACTTACAATATTTTCAATTTATGATGGGATTATCAGGATGTAACCCCACTCTAAGTCGAGGAAGAGCTGTACTGTCTTCCATCAATTATCACCTTTATTTCTTTAAATCATCAAGAATCATCATCTTCCGTCAAAGAATCGATACTGACACAAATGCACAAAACAGGGCCGGGTGTCAACCAAGCTCAGAGCTCTGGGTGATGCCAAGGGTGTGTCACACCCCCTCCCCGGCCCGCTCCTTCCCTACCACTTCGTGGCAGTAGCCCCTACCCCAGTGTTCTCCTGCATTGCCTTTCCTGCATTCTCTCCGCCTCCTCCACTCTGGAGCCTAGGAAAGGGCAATGTGCCCTCAGCCGTGACGTCGCAGGGAGAGGCCCCAGCATCAGAAGCCAGTCCTCAGGCTCTAGGCACTGATTTTTCAAGTATGTCAGGTTACCATACCAGAAAGCACCAACATCAGTCTTCAACTGTGTCCCCCTAGTTTGCTGGTAAACACACGGCTTCTTTACTCCTCCAGGAAGAAGGAAACATTCAACAGGGTATCTGGAATAGGAAGAGAGAAAAACTGGCATATCACCTCTCCAGAGAACACAAAACATCGGATTTATAAAAAATACAGGGGCACTGCAAGGGCATCTCTGTAATGCTTCCAAACAAGTGAGACATACAAAGAGACCGCAGACATGAAGGAATAAATGAAAACCAGTACCTTGTACAAGGCTTTGGTGTTCATCTTCTGAAATTTGGTCCCAGGCCTTGGGCAAAGCTTGGATGTTTGCTAAATCTCCCCACTGGATCGAGGACAGGAGGTACTTTCTCTTCAGATAACTTCCTGGAAGTTAAGGACTGCTCAAAAAGCAAATGAGGGTGCCTGGGTGGCTCAGTTAAGTGTCTGCCTTTGGCTCGGGTCATGACCCCAGGGTCCTGGGATTAAGCCCCGCATCGGGCCCCCTGCTCAGTCGGGAGTCTGCCTCTCCCTCTACCCTTCCCCCTCTGCTCGTGATCTCGCTCTCAAATAAATAAATAAAATCTTAAAAAAAAAAAAAAAAGCAAATGAAATATGCTGAAAGGGGAAAATGCCCTGGGGAGAGCTACGGGAAGCAAAGAGTGAAAGGGGGGCTATCATTCTATTCACCAGGTGGCAGCACTCAACCATGCCACCCATCTTTACCGAGCACCTCTTCAGTCACAGTCCTACAGGGCTGGAGGGATGAAACATCACCCCAACAACCTAGGATCTCACCGTGGTGGGGAAAAAACCAGCAACTGAAAACAAAGAGTCTCAGTGATATCAAAGAGGACACTGCGGCGCAGTTCAGAGGACACCTACCTCCCACTTACAGGGCGGCAGGGAGATTCCGGCTGGCAGGAAGAGCATAAGCAAAGGCACAGAAGTGGGGAAGCATGGATTGGTTTCAGGGCCAAGTAAATCCCCCAATCTGGCCGGCAAGGAACAATGTGCGGAGCAGTAGGAAAGGTGGCTGAGAGGCAGGCTGAACCAGAACACAAAAAGGCATGTAATCAGTGCTCAGTACTGTTGGCTGCAGCTCTGTGAAAAACACAGGCTGATTATCTTACTCCTCTTCTCAAAACCTCTGAATAGCTTTCCATCTCACTCAGAGCAAAAGTCAAAATCCTTTCAAAAACCTCCAAGGCCCTAAAGGTCCGGCCTTATCTCCCTGACCACGTCTCCTATTAGGCTCCCCCTCCTCACTCTAGTCTAGCCCCACTGGCATCCACACTATTTTGGGAACATATTAGGCATGACCTTACCTCGGGGCCTTTGCACATGATGTTTCTTCTACCTGGCACACGCTTCCCCCAAATATCACCTGGTTCTCTCCCTCGCCTCTAGGTCTTTTCTTAAATGTCACTATCCGTGAGGCCTCTCCTGACCACCCTATTTAAAATCACAACTCCACCCTCCCCTCACTTGCCCTGTTTTATTTTTCTCTAAGTTCAGAGACCAAGAACTGACCCATACTACATAGTCGTATAATCTCGTGAAAACTGAAATTAAAAAGACTTCCTGAAGCAGCTCTGGACACTGAAACGTGTGCAAAGGATACGAATTTCGATAATGTCTCTCAATGTCCTGCAACCATTCCAACATGTCAGCCACAGAAGGGCTGACCACTGAAGCCTGCAGAAGAGCATCAATGCCAATCGAGTCTGCATGCTGCTCATAGATCTCAAGCACCTGCTCCACGTGCCTGCTGACGGTGTCACGCACCTTGAGGAGGGTGGCTCTGGGGGAAAAAAGTCTCCTATTAGACAACACCATGAGAAGGCCTGAGGCAGGGTTCCTCAACCTCAGCACACTCACATTTCGACCTGGATGGTTCTTTGTGGTGAGGGGTTGCCCTGTGCATTTTAGGGTGCTGAGCAGCATCCTTGGCTGCTACCCCCTAGATGACAGGAGCAAACCATGCCCCATCCTCCCCAAGTTGTGACGATCAATGTCTCCAGATACTGCCAAATGTCCAAATGGGAAAAATTGCTCTGGGCGCACATAGACTACTGCGGATCTTAGGAAAGTTACTTATCCTCAATCGTGTATAAAAATGGTCTGTTTTGCTCACTGCACACCCTAAGTACCTAGAACACTGAGACTGGCACATAGAACGACAAACACCTGTCCAATGAATGAATGAGTGAAAGGGTTCTTGTGAAGATTAAATGCAATAGTGCTTATAAGGTGCTTAGGGAAGTGCCTAGCTCACGGTCAGTATTGTTATCATTCCACTGGTGACTCCAAGGGACCCAGCCACCGAGAAGGCCACAACTTCCCAGAGGGCAAAGCATTCCTTAACCTAGAATTGTGGCTTTCAAAATGTGTGGCCACAATTAAAAAAACAGACTTAAAATAACAGCCCAATACTCACACACAAAAATCTGTCATCAACTAAAATAAAAGTTCACTACCTCAGAACATACCACAACATAATTTGACAGTCTCTCTTCTAATCAACTAAGAAACTAAGTCTGGTTCATTGTTATATTCCCAGCACCTTGCGCTTGACATCCCATAGGTGCTTAGTTATTTTGTACAAATGACTACACAGAAGGTCCCCATATTTGACCATTTCCCATTAGTCTACGGCACAGACTGTATACACCAGAAACTTTTGTTCTAGTCAAGAAAAGGCCTATGTGTGGGGCGTCTGGGTGGCTCAGTTGGTTAAGCATCCGACCTGTGATTTTGGCTCAGGTCATGATCTCATGCGTCATGAGATGGAGCCCCATATGGGGCTCTGTGCTCAGTGCGGAGTCTGCTTGAGATTCTCTCTCCCTCTCCCTCTGCCCCTTCCCCCACTTGTGCTCTTTCTGTAAAATAAATAAATCTTAAAAAGAAGGAAGGAAAGAAGGAAAGAAAGAGGAAGGAAGGAAGGAAGGAAGGAAGGAAGGAAGGAAGGAAAGGCCTATGTGCCAGGTCTCTTGTCTATCCTCAATACTTACAACTGTAAGATAGAGGGTCTCACGTCAGGCACACTAAGAGTTTAGAGATGTACTATTCCTGGCACAGAGACACCAGTGTACAGCAGAACAGAGTGGTGGTTGAACACTCTGGCCTTGGTGTCAGGCAAACTTGAGTTAGACTCCCAGCTTTACCATTTACTAGCTGTGCGACCACAAGCAATCTGAGCCTGTTTCCTCACCAGCAAAATGGGATTAAGTGTGGTTAAGTCAGAGATGTTGAAAAGATTTTATATGAGAATATATGTAAAACCCTTAGCTCTAGCACCTACTAAGTTTAAAGTACAATTCCTCACTGCTTTTGACAAAAGAAGACAATAGAGAAGGGCTTATTAAGCTTTCTCGATTGCTTTTCTTTTCCACTTTTGTAATTTCTACTGAGACCACCACTGCCGTGCCCTACGTGACAAGGGAAATGCCACAAAGTGACTTTTTTAAAAAAGACTGATTTATTTATTTGGAAGAGGGAGAGTCTCAAGCAGACTGCACTGAGTGCAGAGCCCAACATGGGGCTTGATCTCACGACCTGAGATCACGACCTGGGCCAAAACCAAGAGCCGGAAGCCCAACTGACTGCACCACCCAGGCACCCCATAAAATGACTCTTTGACAAGAGGTCCCATTGCAACAAGTGGAAAGGAGGCAAGGTTGAGACACCTCCAAATACCATGTTCTCAAGTAAAGGGAAAAACACTCTTCTGACTGATCCTAGCTACTTATTAAACACCAAGTTTTTCAATCTTTCCGCCAAGAAGGAATGGCATCGAACTCTTACAGCCTCTCCCCTAACTTGTCCAAGACAGTGTCGCCAGCCGCCAGCTGCTTGCGCCTCAGCCGCTCCTTTAAGTCTGGGAAGGCCCGAAGTGGAGGCACGTCCTCAAACCGCAGATTGTGGGCCGCCTGCAGCTGCTCTGCCAGGTTGCTGAGGGAGGCCAGGAGGGGCTGGCTGTCCCTCAGCGTGCTCTGCCACAGGCCCTGCTGCTCCTCCACCACGGGAAAGCACTTCCTCAGGGCCTCGTGCACAGCAAGCAAAGGCTGGTCTTGAGTCATCTTCTGCCGAGATAAACAAAAACAGTATTAGGGTCTCAAGTCGGAAGGGGAAGTAGCGGGTCCAGTGATTTCCGTGCGCAAGTGAGGTCCCGCTAAACCAGGGTCTCCTCACGAAGGACTGTGTATCCCTTCCGACAGGACGTCCTGACGCGAGGCGTTGTCTTACCTTTAGAGGGGCTCTGGAGGCAGGACCTTGGTTTCCCACCTCCGGGAGGGTTTCCCGACCAGGCCTCGGAGGAGGTTCGCCCGCGGCTCGGGTAGTCTCCAGTTTCAGACTGCGGATTCCCCGGGCCAAAGCGCTGTCTCCGAACCCGTACTTCCAGAGCCAGAATCTTGTCTCCTTTCCCGGAAACTGCCCGTCGCTTTCCTTAAACCAGCGGGAAAACTTCAAGCTAATTCCATCAAAGTTTGAGGACCCGCCAAGGCCACCACCAAGCGCCCGCGGTCTCTCTGCGCATGCCCCAGCGCAGCTACTGAGTCGCGAACGTATGTCGTAGACCGCAGTGCCTTCTGGGTGCGGTAGTCCTACGTGTGCACGGGCGGCCGGGCCGCGGAGCTTCCTTGTGATTGGATGCTGTGGGGCCCTCCTAAGACGGCGACTTCTCATTCGTCAGCCTGTGGCAGTTTGAATTTGGTGGCGGCCGTCGCACGTCCGGTTAGGCACGGAGCTGCTCCCTCCCCTCAGCTGGAGCGGCGAGGATTTTCTCAACCCGTTTCGTGACGCGCAGGTACGTGCCTTGCGACTCCTTTATGCTCGGGTCTCCAAGGGCAGGCCCCCCTCATTAGCCCCGTGGGGCGCCCGTCCGCCCTCTCCCGCTCCCCCGCCGCCCCCTTACTCTCCCTCCCCGACCTCGGCCGCTGACCCCCCAGTGGCTGCATCCCCCGCTCCCCTCAGCCTCCACCCAAGCGCCATGGCTCCGGCTAGGAAGGGCGGCAGTCGGGTGGCCAAGACCAACTCGGTTCGGAGCCGGAAGCTGGCTTCCTTTCTTCGGGACTTCGACCGTGAAGGTAGGGGGCGGAGCCCGGGGCGATCGCGGGGTGCCGGCGGGTTGGGATGCGGGCAGCACGGGTTCCAGGCCCGGTTCACCCGCCGGTGACCCGTGTTCTGTCGGCTTGGCCCTCTCGCAGTGCAAATACGATCCAAGCAAATTCAGTCGGACAGGCAGAACCTCCTCAAGGAGATGGATAATCTGTACAACATCGAGATCTTGCGGCTCCCCAAGGCGCTGCGCGAGATGAACTGGCTCGACTACTTTGGTAAGAGCTGCTCCCGTTTCCCCAGGTCTCGGCCCGGGGCGCCTCTGTGGTCACCTGAGTGAGGTCTTCAGGATCACTTTAGGAAATTGCAGCCTTACCGCTTCCCCCGCTCCTGATCTCACTTCCTTGCTTTACCTTTCTGCATAGTTCTTAACGTCATATACCCCTACAGGTAGGCGAACGTGTTCTGTAAAGGAGCAGATAGTAAATACTTTGGGCTTTCTGGGCTAGACGGTTCTCTATTGCAGCTACTCAACTCAAGCTGTTATATGTCCAGCAGAGCTGTAATGAATGAGCAGGTATGTGTCCCAGTAAAATGTATTTATGGACACACTGAAAAGTGAATTTTGTGTGAATTTCATGTGTCACAAAACACTCTCTCTTTTTTAAATATTTTTATCCAATCATTTAAAAACAAATAAATGAATAGCTTGGTTTGCTACCAGAGCTCAGATGGGAGGATAACCCCCAAGCAGTGCTTTCTGCATCTTATGGAAACTGTCAACTTAAAAAATGAGCAAATCAGGGCGCCTGGGTGGCTCAGTCGTTAAGCGTCTGCCTTCAGCTCAGGTCATGATCCCAGAGTCCTGGGATCCAGTCCCACATCGGGCTCCCTGCTCCGCGGGGGGCCTGCTTCTCCCTCTCCCACTCCCCCTGCTTGTGTTCCCTCTCTCGCTGTGTCTCTCTCTGTCAAATAAAAAAAAAAAAATGAGCAAATCAAATTGTGAAGTGCAAGTACTTGATTCTTTCTGGACAGAGAAAAATTGCAGCCTGTTCTCCACTCCCTTGTTAAATGTCCAAGGACGTGCAAGAGGCTTTCATTTCTGCTGGGTTACCCTTACTTTGTCTATTTGCCTTGTTACACGTTACATAGGCTCCTTCCTGAATAGAAATGCGCGTTCTATTCAAATAGATATTTAATGATTCTTTGACTTGCCCTTTTATTTGCATGTTTCTACAAATATTCATTGAGCATGTCTCAGTCACAATGCTAGGGGCTGAAAATGCTTTGGGAAATAACACTGATGTTGCCTACCCTCAGGAGCTTACGAGTTAGTAGAAGAGGATCCTTTTAAAAGTGCACACGTGATTATATAGTCAAAATTGTAAGTACCAGAAAAAGGAAAGAGTAGTGGTCAGTAGGTACATTTATATAGTGCTTCCTGTGCCAAACAGGGATTCTACTGAGTGTATTGCATATGTTAACTAATTGTATGTTCATAACAAAGGTACTCATTGTTAATAGTGTTCCTCTTTTGTAGATGACAAAATTAAGGCACAGAGAGGCTGGTTACTTTGCTCAAGGTCTCATAAGCTAGTTAGTAGCAGAGTGTATTTAAACCAGGCATTCTGGTTCAAAGTGTGAATTCTTAACAGTTCTACAGGCCACTATGAGAGTTTCTGAAGGAGGCTTAACCGAACTTTATTCTACATCTACAACTTGCACAGACCTCTTCATTCAACACACATTGGCTACATACCTACCCCATGCCATATTTTTGCCCGAAACGGTCTTCAAGGAATTCAGTTCAAGGCAGGGTAGACACTTAGACAGCTCTGAGTAGTTGTTGGGTATGATGAGAGTGAGCAACTAGCTCAGCACTTCGCTGCAATCTGTTGTGATAGAAAAATAAAGACTTTTGGATTTGAACGGAGTTTTGAAAGATGAATTAGAAATTTGTCGGGTGCAGAGGAGCATTTCCGGTAGAGGAAATAATAAGTGCCAAGGCACGGAGTCATGAGGGATGGCGGCACATTTGGGAAATAAGGACTTGGGTGTGGTGGGACCTAGAATATGTGATAAGGCGGCCAGCCAGACGTGGAGAAAAATTAAACGAGGTTGTAAAGGTCCTTGAATGTTGAAGCCAGGGCTTAATCTGGTCCAGTTCTAGACAGATAACGGGTTATATCAGGGAAGATCGTTCATCATTAAGATCTGAGAGTAACTAAATAAAATGTTCTTTTTAAAGCTCTTGGAGGAAACAAACAGGCGCTGGAAGAGGCAGCAACAGTAAGTGATCTGTCCTAATTTGGAACTATGGTTAGTTTTTAAGTTTAATCCTGTCACAGAACCCAACCAGAGGGTGCTTACTATGGAAGCGGTTTCGCAGGGGACATATCCTATTTGTGTCAACTGAAAATCTATGGTTGTCAAATGCTGAGTCCGTGAAGCCCAAATACTGTCAAGTTCTACAGAGGGAGGCAGTTCTGTTATTGGCAGGTTCCTTGTAGCTCTCTGCCCTGACCTCTCAGGCAAAGCAGAAGCCTCAAGCCCAAGTCCCTCTAAGCCCCTGGGTCATTACCTAATGGCCTGGCCTGCTAGGTGTCAGAGACCCCAAAAATCTCCATCCTTCTATGCATTATTAGAATCTCTTGGAATCTCAGGGTTTGAAGGGACCTGACTACCAAGGATTCATAGTAGCATGGAAGAGCAGATCTCCACTGGCCTCAGAAGTTAAAGGTGTTTCAGAGCCAGTTGTTCAATCAAGAAAAAGAGAATTTGGGGGTGAATAATGTAGGAGAGGAGTGGGGATCACTGAAAAATAAAATCAAGAGCTAATAAAACATTCTTAGTTCTGGCTTTCTCTTTCTTTGTAATACGTTCCTGCCTCCACACACCCAGATCTAATGTTTCAAAAGACTTACCTCTGAGGTGAATTATACTCATTAGCTAATGCATCACCCTCTTTTTAATTAATCAGACATATAGAACTACAAATCAGAGAGCTTCTAATGTAATATGAAATAGCCAGTGTCATCACACCAAGCTGAGAGAATTGTAGCCTTAGCTGATATGATTTAGAACTCAGGAAAGGATTGATACTTTGGCACAAAAGTTCATAAAGATTAGGTATGTGGCGGTCTCCCAAGACCACTTCCAGGAAGACTCAACAGGGCTCAGCATATAGTCATACTCATGGCTATGATTTATTACAGTGAAAGGATACAAAACAAAATCAACAAAGGGAAAAGGTGCCTGGGCACCTGGGTTCAGAGGAAACCAGGCGCAAGCTCCCAAGAGTCCTCTCCCAGTGGAGTCACATGGGACACCTTACTTCAACACATGTGAAATGTTGTCTATCAGGAAAGCTTATTAGAGACTCAATGCCCAGGATTTTTATTGGGGGCTGATCACATAGGCATCTTCTGCCTAGCATGTACCAAAATTCCAGACTTCCAGGAGGAAAGCAGGTATGCAGCAGAAGCCATATTGTTTGTACAAAGCTTAGGCCCAGAGAGCCATTCTAACCAGGGAATGGTGGGAACCCTAAAATCCAAGTTCTCATGCAAGCCACCAGCCCGTCCGTGCAAACAGGCCGTTCTATGGATATCCATCTTAGGCCTGTTAACTCTTCTGCACGAAGGTGATCAGTGGCCTGCCACCACCGATACCTTCATAACATGCCAGTTGTTTCTAGAGATGGCACGTAGTTGGCCACTGTCTGTTCCATCAGCCATTTCAGACCTCGCTAATCTCGTACAGCTCTGTTTCTTGCTAAGATTGGACAGCCTTAGAATGCTCCTCTGAGCACTCCATGGAGTCCCTACCAGTCTGGAGATGAAACCTGTCATCCCTAGTCTATAACAAGTCTTCTGATATTTACATGTACCCTGCAAGGAAAGGCATAGAATCATGCCTGCTCGTGGCTATTCTTATTCACATAGGTAGTCACCACTGGGAACACATTTAATTCGAATGGCTGCGACTAGAAGCCTTTTTGAAGGGCCCGTGGGTGCAACAGAAAACCTTATTGACTCTCTAGACTTTAAAAAAGAGAGAGAGAAAAAAAGTCTAGTATAGCACCCATTGTAGAGAATGTGAGTCATTAGCAACTTGTATTGTTTGCCAGTGGGACATAATCAAGTGCAACCACTTTGGAAAATGATTTGGCATAATAGGTGGAACAACCCTCCAGTGCTCCATCCCAGAGTATACAGCCAAGAGAGAGCTTGGACACGTGCATCAGACACATGTAAAAGATGTTTGGAGTAGCAAAAGACTATTGACAGGAGATTGGAGAAATTCATTGTGATAGAGTCACACAGTGGGACGCTACATGGCATTGAAAACAAATGAACTACAACAACAAATAGTGGTCAGAAGCGAAACCAAATAAAATATTATTTAAGCACGTACACGTTTGTTAAAAACAACAACAACAACAACAACAAAACACACACACACTTTCTTTTAAGCAAATGGAATGATAGTGGTCACCTCTGGATGAAG